CTATGTTTCAGTATGATCCTTGGAGTTACGCCTTGAACTTCGACGACGGAAAAGAGAATCCTCAGAGATTCTCCGGCGACTATAAACACTACAGGATCACTCTGCTTTATGTTGTTTCTGTCAAATTTTGACTTCTTTCTCTCTTATTCGTTTATCAGTTTTTAAGCAGTCAACCCTTGTTTCAGTTTCTCTTTCTTCTTCGTGTCAGTTGAAGATTTGTTCTTCAAAACTTGAATCTTTTATTTCAATATGGTCGAAGCAACTACTCTGTGTAAGAAAGTCGTTGAATCTTCTAAATTCGAATTAAGCTTCTTAAAATCGTGAATATACTTTTTGGTACTAATCCTTGTATACATTCCAATGCAGAGACCGTAATTACATATTGAACACTTTGAAGAACAAGTAAATATTGTTGTCTAAAGTCATGAACACGGTTTTTTGGTACTAATCTTTGTGTAAGTTCCCATGATTAAAGAAGAAGTAAATATCGTAATTAACTTTTTATTGACCATTTTGATAAACAATTAAAGATGAGATTTGTTTGAGTTTGAGAATTCTAAAAACCTAAATCCGATATTGATGGGAGAAAAAAAGATTTTGATTCCGTTCGATGACTATTATTAGTTAAGATTCGTATTTGAACTATCTCAAGTTTGAATTTGTGTTTATCCACTAATCTATTTCGAATGGATAAACCAAACACTTGAAGTAGAATCTAGAAACACCATTGACTTGACTTCGCACCTAACACATTTCTAAAAAAATGCTTTGAGACAAATGGGTATTTGCAGCTATCTTTTTAGGTGAGATAATCATATAGACAAACAAAACAGAGTATAAAGTACATTGAAGAACAGTGTGATAAGTAGACAATGAAGCAACTTTTTTGGTTGGTTAGTCAAACACCCAACAAACTTGAAAAATCAAATTCAATAGCCTCTTCACAAGTAACTTTCTATGATCCGTACACATGTTGGAGAATAAAAGCCAAACCAGTAACCAACATTGAGAACATAACCCATCTCTTGTATACTGTTACCAAGTGGTCCAAAATATTTTCATGAGAAAAGTAAATGGCTTTTATCACAAGTGCAAGACCAAAAAAAACTTCATCTCAATAAAAAAATTTACACTTATGAAGCAATGGTCGTCAGACTCACGTTCTTGCTAAAGATCAGTTAAATTTCACTATATATGTTCCCTTTTTGGCAGAGAGCCTCTTCTGGTTCCTGAAAGAGGTGAATAATCATTTTGGTGGGTCTATGAGTTGGCCAGTGGACAAATCACTCATGCGTGGATACACTGCTATTTCATCCAGTTGATCTTGAGTCCATACCAGCATCTTCAACAAGCTATCAAGTTTGGGACCTGTCAATTCACAAACATAACACCGTCATCGCGTTGGTGTGGTACACTGACAAAGTTTCAAGAGAGGAAATCTGAATGACACATGTAGGCGACCGAGGACTGTTAAGATATGTTGTAATTCTGACAGTTTTTGGCATCATAAACAACTGATTCTATTGCTAGAGATATGAGCTCATTAAATTTCACTTGCTGTGTTAAGCCACAAACAGTAGAAAGTTGAGCAGTTACCTTTTTCATCAGTCTGGCTTGTAAACATTGCTGCATTCACTTCGCTAGCTGTGTTAAACCTCTGTGATTTGTCAAGGAGCTCTTTACGCGGGCAGTTAAGGTGATCCTCGAAAGCGAGTAGAGCTATAGTATCTTCCACTTCTAGTAGATACGCGTTCTGTATAACACATATATAGATGCGGTTTTGGACTCAACATGCAAGATATAGATGCTTTAAACACAGATAAAGTCATCTTTAACGATTGAAATCCAAGTACAATGTTAAGCATATGGTGACAGAACATATATGGATGAAGTTCCAATAAGAAGAATCATAGACATGAGTGAGTACTAACAGGACACACAATGTGAGTTAACGGTTAAAGACATACGCTCTCTTCAGCAAATGGTGCAAGGTTATCCTTAGCAAACGCTATGGCCTCGCTTATCTTCCCTTCTCGGATTATTTCTATCAACCTTTGCTGTTGGAGAAGAAAACTTGTCTTCAGTATCTGCAAACAACACAATGATGACTCATTCGCTGTGAAACATGGTTGATACCAAGTAACCAGTCAGGAATTAAAAAGCGAAGTACCTCAGGGTTTAAAGCATTCAATTTTTCAGCAGCTTCCTCGACATTTCCGCATTGTATAGCTTTGATAACAGCCATTCGGTCAGTGATGCTCGCAAGATCGACTTCTGCTGTTTCTTGGTAAGGAAAATAACTGAGAGACAAGATTATAGCACAGGCCACTACACAAAGAATCTGAGTAAAGGATACGCGTAGTTCCAGATTCCTTTAGGAATTTCTCAGCGGCTTCTTGATGTCCTTCAGCCACAAGGAAATTCATCACGAGTCTGTTCATGTCTTCTTTACGAATATTCACAGCTTTGAAATTCATATCCCAGACTTCACTCGTGAAGATTGTCTTCGATGATTCCTGAAGGATCAAAGAAAGTATCCAATTCGGTCAATAAACACCATGGAAGTCGCAGTCGGTGAAGATGAATGTATTACCATATCTTCTTCGTTCTTTTCAACCTGATTAGGGAAAAGAAAAAGCAAGAGCGATAGACATTAGAAACACAGTTCTCTGGTTCGATGCAATTAGTACCTGTTCTTCAGCCATACGAACGGATTTTCCTCGGAATCTCTCTTCTGAAGTTGAGGAGCGACTCGAATCAACTGACCCAAGAGATTCTCTTCGCGACTACAATGAAAAGCCCGAGTATCGAGGTGTTTAGTCAAAAGTTCGAGCCCAATGTGCGCAATTTCTATGGAAGATTTGAGGTAATTCCGAAGGAAGAGTAGTACGAAGAGTTTTCCTGGAAAAAATCGTATACAATTTCCCGAGAAAGTGTACCTTATTTATGTATACAAATAAAATTCTTAAACCGGGTTTTGCCCGATGAACCGTTAATAAACCGAGATGATTGAAATGGTTACAGAGTTGGTTTAGATATATTTTTCCCCAAAATCAACTTCTACGTAAATCACACTATATTAATTCCTATAATGAAATATTTCTCCGTTTTTAGTTAATGACATTAATAATAAAAAAAATTTATTCATCTATTAATTAAAAATTGGTAAACCAAATTAAAGTTTTCCTTTTTTCACATTACACCTTAAAATTAAAAATCTAAATTTATGACTGCTTATACCAATCCGAAAACAAAATTCCGTTTCGAAAAAGTTATCTACTTTTTTGGTCAGCAAAATAAACATTAATTACGTTCGAGTATTATAAAATGATTTAATGCTTTTCTCACAAGCCATTTGTAGAAAACATTAATAAAATAAAATATGACGGCTCATGATTAAATAATGAAAAAAATGACCAATAGCCAAGTCCTTCGACCGTTTCTTATTTTAAATCTGCGTCTCTTTATCTTCTTCTTGCCTTTTCCAATTCG